TTTTCACACTTTTATTTGAATGTTATCCATATCACCTTTTATCTTCATTTCTTCAAGTAAATTCTCTTTTTTCTTAAATTTTTGAGAATATTGTTGCCGAGGCTGAAATACTTACCAATTGTCTGCTGCTGACCGTAAATAATAAATGCTTTTCTTCTTAATACCTCGGCTTTTAGGGCCCTTATTCGCCTAGTGTAATGCTTTTCATTTCTCTGAAGTTGCAATTCGAGTTTGGAAGAGTGCCGAGGTGTCAAGCAATTCAAAATCAAATGCCTCAACTGCTTGCATTTTTTTTTGAACGGTTGGGCTTCAGGAATGATAAAAGTTTCCGTATTTAAGTAAACTTGTTTTGGAAAATTTTCAAACGTTCAAACGTTGAATCTTAGAAAAAAGCATCATACACATTCAAATGAGCCAATAAGTGATTCATACAATTTTAATTCATTTTACTAAAAAAAATTAGGTTAGGTTTGAAAGAATGCGATCGATGCCATCACGAATTTATGAACGATCAGATCATTTTTTTTTAATGAAAACTAGAGCATGTCAAGGTTCTGCCTGTAATAACATAATGTGTTTTACCGAGCATTTTCACATGTTTTGAAGGTTCACTATGGAAAAGTTTGCGAATGACTTCAATAATTGTGCATTGTGAATTATGTTCGTTTCTTTATGTTTGTCTATTATTATATAAGATAGCGATACTGGTTGGAAGGTCCAATCGCGCATAAATTATGGTCTTTTCTGCAGCTTTATGCCCCCCTTCTCAATATAGGTATTTAAAGTACAAAATGTATTATGGTTACAAAAAAAAATTAAAGAAAAAAGCATAATTTTTGGGTCTGAGATTGATTTAAAGAAACTGAATTAAAAAAATCGAACGTCAAAATAAAAGCCCTTTCAAACAAGCTATTACTCGATACCACTTGTCACTTAAAACTTTTAAGGGGGTGACAGAGGGTGAAAGGTGGAGTAATATTTGGATAGAAAGTCCCCCTTGAAAAATCTTTTAACGTGTCTCGGCGTTTTTCCTGTAATCAGTGGTTTTCGCTAAATCCGTGTGGGAAGTTTTCAAATGAACACCCTGTATAAAGCAAGGCGATTATGGAGACTCTTTTTCCTTAAATCTTTACACTCTTTTCTAATCCTACCGTGTAACGTGTTAGGGGTTACCCGATAGTACCAACCTTTGGAAGGGAGAGAGAAGGGAATGTATCGTATGAGTCGGCGTGTACTGAGGGAAGGAGGCTAACATTAAGTAAAAACCTACGGAAAAACTGCTGGAGTAGTATCTTCCCTTCGGCACCCCAGTCCTTCCATTCCCATCCTGAACATACAGGGTGTTTGGGTTAATTCAACCATACCTCATGGCATAAGAACTCGAAAAATTTGACTTTTGTCTTTCAGGAAAATGTATTGCCAATCAATTGCTCCTTATAACTTTAATATCAAGGTGAAGCATCAGGGAAGATTTTAGAGGATACTGTGTTGACTGAGACAAATTACCTTTCTTTTTTTTTAAGGTGAAAATTGCAACCAGAAATTATTGGTAAAAAATAAACACGGAAAATATTGAGGACGTCTCCTTGATACATTGCTTTTTATAAAATGGTTTAAATTTAAATGGAAACCTATGTTGACTCCGCAAGATTAAAAAGTGTGAAAAGACTGGTAACAAATTCAGGGGTTTCTTAAGATAAAAATACAAATAGAAAAAATACACAACATACAACAGTTTAAATGATAATAATATGTAACAACGTGGTCGAAGGACACGAACTAAAAGGGGACAAAAATACACCTAAAAACGAAAGAACTTGCGGCTGCTTACGGAGACACTAGATATGTTGGGAAAAGCTGGCGCCAGTAACTCTTGTTTCCCTGTTCGGGAGCCGTGCCCAAAAATTAGAAAACAGCCCTCTGGTGGTCGAGAAAGCCAAGGCTATAAAAAGAAGGGGGAAAATAAGAAAGATTAATTAAGAGGAGCATAAAAAATGTTTAATCTCGCCTGGGACTTTTCTTGAAAATGCAAAATAAATTATGACTTGGATAATAAATGCAAACTGTTTGCTTTTTTTTTGAAGGAAGTAATCTAGGGGAGGAAAAAGGGATGAGGGTAACAATCAATGATTTAAGTTATTGTGAGTCAGACTGCTTTAGGTGACTGCTTGCAAGATCTCACAATTACAACCGGCAGTAATAATGAATAATAATAATAATAAGTTGTTACTTTTCCTTTTTTTACATAGAGTTATAGGGAATTATTGGGATACAAACAATTTGTTTAACTACAGTATACTTGCTGTATATTGCTGGGTCCTCAGGCGATGTTAAGGGTGATGTGGGGGAGGGTAGAGGAAATAGGATGGAGAGTAGTGGAGGAACGAAATTTAAACGGTAGAGTATGTACAGAATCGCGAAAGGAACGATTAGATAGGAAAATAAAAACCATGGCACAAACGGATTTCCAGGATGCATTCTTAAAATCATATAAATAACTCCCACAACAGCTCTTGGAATGGAATGCCTTTGGTGATGATAGATTGAATTACAGATTTCGGGTGTTGATCCTTCTGGTCAGTAAAAATTTTAGGTTGGCAAAAGAAACGAGTACTAGCATAAACTCGTTTTTAAAGGTTTATTCTTGAACTTTAGGTTTAATGGGTGGGAAATCCCTTTTCACCTGCACGAAAATGAACGTAAATATCTGACTTTTTGCTAACAGTTTTCTTTATCGCAATTTTCCTTTTTACAGGATATTAGAGTATCCTTCTTTCTAATGTATTGCAGTGCATAGAGCGCGGAAAAATGTTTGTGGATATTAATGAATAGTACTTTGTTTATAACGCGGTGATGCAAATTGCAAATTCTGCTAAGGGTCGCGAAAACTAACATACACTTCTTTTTATTATAATACAAAATGGGAACTTATCTTTTTCGCGTAATTTTTTCCACTGAGGCAAAATGATAAATTCCAAAAGACTACTGGACACTAATATTGTCGCTCTGAATTAGATTATTTCTTCTCTTTTAGCTCGGTTTTCCCAAACGCCAAATTTAATTACTTAATAGGCGTTAAAGGTCGCTTTACGAAAACGCCATTGGTTTTCTCTGACTAGGTCGACTACTCAAAACCATCATCTATCGCTCTAACTAGTTTTACGAGCACTAATCGAATTTTTTGACTTGACTGACCAGAAGCGACCGCCTAATTTCGTACAAAGTTCATCCCCCCTCTCTCTAGACTAACCTTACTTAAAACGCCTATTTTATGATGGAAAGCAATGACGGCGATACTTCGTTAGCTTTAATTCGTTCACCAACTCTAAGGTTGTCTACAGAAAAAACTGAATCAACAGAATTTTACCAAGGCAAGCTTCATTCGCAGTGTAAGAAATGAAACATTATATTACCTCTTTTTATCGTGTAAAACGAAACAAATGTCCATGTCAAATGTGATTTAAAACAAAGACGCACATTACAAATATAAGCTATATTTGTAATGTGCGTCTTTGTGCACATTACAAATATAGCTTGCTGAACTACAATCGCATAATGAATATTTGTTTGGTTGAATATGGCCTAAGCTTGCAAACTTTTCCTTCCGCCTGTTGCAATGAAAAAGATCTCAAACATTTTTTACGTAAAGTAACTCTGTCATTACAATGCTCAATGTTTTTTTCTAGTGTGAGCAACAAAAATGACTGGTCTTTTTGACTTTGTAACAAGAGGTACGATACAAAAAATTAACCATGAAGAGACAAAAAAGTAAAAAATGCCTATTATCTGAAACCCATATAAAAATCTGAATCCCTCAATTTCTTGCACAGCAAGAGCTAGAGCTAGAGAAAAATGGCTTCGACTTCGCTCTCCGGTTTGTTGTAAGAGATAGTTGAAACCGCATGGAAGATGGGTCATAAACACTTATTTTAGTGCGAAGCGCGATAATTTCCCGTTATCTGTTTCAACAAGTTGCCCTTTATCTAAGTTTTATTCTCGGTCAAAAATTATTCGCCCCACTAAGTTTTATTCACAACTGAGATTTTTCGTGGAAAGGTCATACCGAAAGTGGGTGATATGACGCAGACATTTTCTTCGAAACGGGAAACTGCGAGCAAAGGTCTACTTATGCAAAACAGTTAACCCCACAATTAGCTGACACGCTTCAAACAATCGATCATGGCGTTACTTTTAGCCCACTAGTGAAGGTGCAGAGGCCACTGACACAGAGTAGATTAACCCCTTCTGGTTAAGAAGAATTTACTCTGTCCCATGTGGTCTATGGTGAAAGATGCTGAAACTACGATGAGACCGTAAGACCACTAACCACTTGGGCGATATTTGTCACTCACGCAATGTTTCTTTGTGTAAAGTGGCGTGTTTCATAGTTCTACAGGAGCTGTTGCTAGTCTGATCCTCAACTTTTCATTGTTAAACAACTCAATACGTGTTAAAGTGTAAATATACCACATATCGATTTACTGAACGGTATATATATTCTATATATAGGTCAACACACTTGTGTTTTCATTAAGTTACGGAAAAATCGATTGTTTTCCTCAGTATATGCGTACAACGCATTAACGGTTGAGACCAAGTTTTAAAAACAAGATCGATGTTGTAATATAGAATTACCATGCTTTACTAGACAAAGTGGAGGGGGAAACGGTCAGTTCAATCAATGCCGGTTTGAAAATTCAGTTTAGTACAAACTCGCAACTGAAATAGTTGACCAATTCGCGATGCCTTAAAAATGTTGTGCGAAGAAAAATTTGCGGTCACTCATAATTTGTGGGGTGTTAAGGAAGAGACTAAGTCGAAAGCTTGGAAGTCCTTCCCATCGTGTTGTAATTTTTGGTTTAGGAGTCGAAAAGTGGTCGACGTAACGCCACCGAAAATTAGCACACCGATTGTGGCCGTGGGGTACTTGCACGCGGATGACTTGTATGTTTCTCCTGTATTGCCGTGGTGAGACTGACAGGTTTCTTTTTCATTTCTAGAACAAAGACTCCCAGTCCAGAGGCGACTCCTGAGCGAAAGTCGATTTCGCAGCGCAGCGTGCTGGTCCGGCAACCGTTTTCTTCAAGTTCTGAAACATCCGAGTTATGTACACCACCGGCGGAACCACATCTTGCAACGAGTTGCACTCATAGCCTACAAGAATCGCCCCTGAAGTCTCCACGTCAGAGTGAAAGCTTCGTAGAAGTGGACAGTCCGAGATACCACAGCGAGAATTTTACCGTTATCGAAGATAGCGCACCAGATGTTTTAGAAGAAAATAAAACGTTTAGTCGTGCGCAATCGGCACATTCGCACTTAGACCGTGACAGTTTGAACATCATCGAAGAGCTTTATTCGGCGGATGCTCGAGTAAAACGCGAGGACTCCTTTGAAACTCACGATGAGTTTGAAAGTGATGAAGCCCATACCTCGCAAGAAACACTTAAGTCTGCACACAAAAATTATCCCGAACCGTTTTCTCTACCGAAAACCTTCATAGAAACCAAACTTTCCAAGTCTGAAATAAACATTCAAATTTCCCCAGAAATTTTACGCAAATCGGTGAACTCCGCACCTCCCCTCAATGACCTTATTCGCTACGACAAAAAAGAAACCACAGAATCTACGGTGGAGATCACCGTCCTTCCTGGCTCCCTCGCGGAGTACACCCCCAAGCACGAATGCCCAGAAGTGAAAACGCCCAAGCAAAAACCACCACTGACCAGACAGTTTTCGCGTAAGGGCTCCGTCAGGTCATCGAAGCGCGACACGACTCCCTTCCCCGACTACCTAAACCCATTCCCAAAGGCGAAGGATGGATTTCACGAGACCCTATCGCAGTTGGAGCATCCCGATTGGGAGGTGACCATGAAAGGGTTACAGGGAATGGTGAGACTGACCCGACATCATCCCGAGATTCTCGATTTGAACATGCACCCAACGTGCGTTGCTCTCGGGAGGCACATCCGAAATCTGCGCTCGCAGGTGGCGAGGGCTGCATCCTTGGCAGCTTCGGAAATGTTTTCGAATCATAAAAAACCCTTAGAAGTGGTAAGTGGAACTACTGAAAATTACCATACATGAATTATTCAAATTGCGGAAATGAAACCAGGGGGGTAATTGTGCGGCGCAGTAGTTTAACCTAGATTAATATTAGATGCAATAATAAATTGATGGGGTTCAAAAGGTATCAGTCTATTGATGACCTAATTTTCCACGTTAACACTAATAGATAGTTGTGGAGGACTTTATCGATGTGTTTTTTAGGAGTTGGAAGAAATCGCCGTTCCGCTCTTGCATCGAACGGCGGATACGAATAAATTTTTGAGAAGCGACGCGAACGGGGCATTGGATAAGATGTGTCTCCACATGGCAGCTCCACGTGTCGTGTCGATTATCACCACAAAGGGTGCTGTGCACCAAAACGCAATCGTCCGCTGCGCCGCTGCCCGGCTCCTTTGTTCCTTGACGAATCGTTTAGGCGCCGAAAAAACGTTTCAACTTCCAAGGGATACTAGGGATAAGATTTTGCATACCGGCGCGAATATGCTGATGGAAGGGAATCTGGATACGAGGTAAATTCCTAGTACTTATCAGACGGCTTTAAAGACTGTTTTCAGGAAACACGCGAAGATGATGTTTACTAATCTCCTTGGTCACTCACAATTTAATAAAGCAATGATGGAGGCGGTCCCCCCTTGCACAATGCGACATATTCAGAAAACGCTCAGATCTTTGCAATGAAACTAGAATTTCTTTTTGTACAATAATTGTTAATTTTGAAATAATTGTAGCATCTGTCAATTTTTTTTGTACGTTTTATAACTTTACGTAGACTGTTAACATTTTTATGTAGTTTATAAAATATGTAAATGTAACTACTGTATCTTCCAATTATTTAAATTATAGCAAATCGAAATTTTTCCATCATTATTTAATGTAAATGGAGTGTATTGATCCAGAGGTCGGGCGTTGTGTTTTACTTTCTTTCTTTTCCGGTGGTGAGTGAGGTTTCTCCAGAGTATTCTCTGCCAACCCATAAACTATAAGCGTTACTATTGTAGAATATCGCATCGATATTTTGTTTTTCTGCTTAGAACATATCATGGGAAAACGGTTTTAGATGAATAGTAAGTGACCAACATTTTTTGATTTCCTTCGGGTTCAAAAAGTACGAATTGTTTTGGATTTTACGCACAAAAATTAATAAGAAAAAGTGTTTCCCCGAGAAATTTTGGTGCAGTCGATTTTTGGTAAAAAAGGAAGGTTATATATACACTGCCTTTTTTTGAGGCCCCCAAAAACAATTGTCTCAGATCGAGCCGGAAAAAAAAATTTTCTTATAGAACGTGGCCTGTAGAATCCATAATTCCAAACAGTTCCAAGATTGGGCTACTAGTTCAAATGTTACAGCCCTTTGAATTTTTTTTCGAAATTGGTTTCTAGTCTATAACTTTTGATTGAGAAGTCTTATCGAAAAAGTACGAATTGTTTTGGATTCTACGCACCAAAATTAATAAGAAAAAGTGTTTTCCCGAGAAATTTTGGTGCAGTCGCTTTTTGGTAAAAAAGGAAGGTTATATATACACTGCCTTTTTTTGAGGCCCCCAAAAACAATTGTCTCAGATCGAGCCGGAAAGAAAATTTCTTATAGAACTGGGCCTGTAGAATCCATAATTTCAAACAGTTCCAAGATTGGGATACTAGTTCAAAAGTTACAGCCTTTTGAATTTTTTTTTGAAATTGGTTTCTAGTATAACTTTTGATTGAGAAGTCTGATCGAAAAAGTACGAATTGTTTTGGATTCTACGCACCAAAATTAATAAGAAAAAGTGTTTTCCCGAGAAATTTTGGTGCAGTCGATTTTTGGTAAAAAAGGAAGGTTATACACTGCCTTTTTCTGAGGCCCCCAAAAAAAATTGTCTCAGATCGACCCGGAAAAAAATTTTCTTATAGAACGTGGCCTGTAGAATCCATAATTTCAAACAATAATAATAATAATAATAATAATAATAATGTAAATACTCTATGATAGTGCTGCGACTATATCAGATTCGTCAAGTAGCGTAGATAAAACGAACACTAAAGAAACAAAACAAAAACATGTACTACAAAAGAAAAAAAAGTAGTAATAGTTACAGGTGCCATTCCGCACTTAAAAATTCATCGACAGAATAAAAAGGGTGTAATTTAAGGTATTTACTTACCTCATTTTTTAATTTATTGAAAGATAAAAGACGCAGATTTGAGGGTAACTTATTATAACATTTTATCCCGTAATAGTTACTACAGTTCCGAGATGTTGTAAGTCGAATAGATTTTGAGCTAATATTGTCTCTACACCTAGTGGAGTATTCATGTATGTTATATGAAAACTGGTAATCAGCAATGTTTTCTTTTATGAATAATATACAATGTAGAATGTACAAGCTGGGAAGGGTTAAAATACCATGTTCCAAGATTGGGCTACTAGTTCAAAAGTTACAGCCTTTTGAATTTTTTTTTTAAATTGGTTTCTAGTATAACTTTTGATTGAGAAGTCTGATCGAAAAAGTACGAATTGTTTTGGATTCTACGCACCAAAATTAATAAGAAAAAGTATTTTCCCGAGAAATTTTGGTGCAGTCGATTTTTGCTAAAAAAGGAAGGTTATACACTGCCTTTTTCTGAGGCCCCCAAAAAAATTGTCTCAGATCGACCCGGAAAAAAATTTTCTTGTAGAACGTGGCCTGTAGAATCGATAATTTCAAACAGTTCTAAGATTGGGCTACTAGTTCAAAAGTTACCCCTTTGAATTTTTTTTCGAAATTGGTTTCTAGTCTATAACTTCTGTTTTTTTTAAATTTATTTATTTATAATTCCTTTGGACAATTAACGATATTGTATAGGAAGTGTCATGGTAAGTATAAGTATATGACAAACAATTAATAAGACATTAAACTATGACAAACATAAAATAGACAGTTCAACAGACTGCTGTTCATTGCAAAATTTGAAATATTCGGCGATGGAGTAAAAACAATTTTCATTTATAAATAATTTTTAAGTTGGCATTTAAATTGATGCAGGTTACAGGAACTCTTTATACACTGCGGTAGAGTTGAGGACTTGGGGAAAGACAAGGCCGTTGAAAATCTTGATTTTAATCTAAGTTACGTTAAACTTACAAAATGTATCTCCTGCCTGAGTGGAAATGCGATTAATGTACCTGGCCGCAGCGTGAGATATTTTTTTCCAATATCGGAAACTTCGTCAATTGGTGAAATGACCAAGCAAGTCAACTAAGATTTTAGGTCCTGGCCTTTTGCACATGTTATACAAAGTTACCGGTAAAAGCGCAACAAATTTTGGCAATCCCTAGTCTTGGTTTAAAGAATTTGTTTTTAATAAGTTCAACATTATCTAGGGTGTTACTAATAGGAGAATCATTTGAAAATTACCTAAATACTTTGCATAAACTTTAACAAACGGTGTTAGTTTACCTCAAGACATTTCGTTCTACGTAAGCTGTGGTTTCCAAACGTTGCTTGTGCTAACAGGAATTTCTACTTTGGAAAATTTGGAAATGGAAGCTCAATAAAGTTCATATTTGGAGGAATTTATTTTCAAAGAAACGTGGAAGCGTTCGCTGATTGTATTAATTAATAAGTAAAAGTGACACTACTTTCCAAAATAAACGGTATCTCCTAGTTTTATTTGGCCAGGCCTGCGCAAACAGGCATATATGCCGAAAGTTGGGGTTGCCTGCCCAACTTCAAATCCTTGGGAAGGTCGAAACCTACAATGGAATATGGTTAATATCTCAAATGTGTGGAGTATTCGTCAATTCGTGTACTTTTTCATAGATGTGATTGGTTCGTAATTTTTTAAGGGTTCCGCGTTCTCTGGATTAAGGGTGGTCAATCTACACCTCGCCACAGTCATGACGTTTCTTATGATGACGTCGCCAATTTTAATCCAATCCCAACTATCCTCGGCATATGGTGCTATGTCGCCGCCCACTACGATATTCGGTCTAAAATTATTCATTGTGATATTGGCATTTGGAATTTTCGCTTGTACATCTTCCAATGACGATTTTGTGAAGAGATGGAAGGTGGCCAAGTCACTATAAAGGCCCTACAAATACAATTAGATAAATGGTTCCAGTATCATTCAAACTTACCCCCGCAGAGTTGTTTAGGTGCGGATTCCTTGCTGTCTCTTTCGGGTAATATTTCTCTATATCCCTTCCGTGAGTTCCGTCATGAAAACCTAAACGTAGACCAGTAGGTTTGCCGAGTACGTAATTAGAAATCCACTCGGCCACTTCGTCACCACAATCCAATGTGGATACCAATTCTTCCGTGTGCATTATTAATCTGCAATCATCTGTAGAATAAAACGCAAATGTTGGTACTTACATCACGTGGTTCTTTTCCGCAGTCAAATCCGGTACTTTGAAAATGACGCTACCCATGTCTGCAGCACTTAAGGAGAAATTATCCCTGTCAACTATCCCTGCCTCCAAGAGAAGTATCTTCGGGTGATGCCTAGCCGATTTCATTTCCTTGGTTGTATCCTGGTATATTACTAAGCATCTAATGAAGAAGTAAAAAAAAAAACTGTAATCAAAGTGTAGAGGGCTTACCGATCTCTAAAATGAGGAAGGGAAGGATCAGTGAATTGGAACCCGTACTCGGTACAATTAGCTTTATCAATCGGTACACGTCTGCCGCTTTTCAAAGGGTACATGAACATCTCTGTAACGGTACCCACAGGCTCCCATTGTTGTGGGATCCTGTTACGAGCCCTTCTGCGCAGGTAATATGCCAGTGCTGTCACAGCTACCACTGTGACCGTGGCAAGGGTGACTTGGGTGCTGTATTGAGGTGCCATGAGGAGCCTGAAAAGCAACTAGACGATTAATCAAACCTAGAACTGAAATGGGTTGAAGAAAAATATCACATCACTTTCTATTTTGTTGTAACATTTTTATTACTTGTATTGTGAAAGGTAGATAATCTAGATGGAACGTGTTTACTACTGTAATGGAGTCGTTTACGTGCCTAATCACTAAGCTGTCAAAACTTCATAATAGTCGTATAATGTGCAGATAACCTTTACAATCAACTATGAATTAATTCAATGTAAGATAAAAACTCGACGTTGCTCTTGCTTATCAGGAATAGGTGCAATGAGAGTGCTATTTTTAGCTAGAACGATTTATTTATCTTGATTAAATGATAATCAAGACAAAAATGTTATCCAATTAAGATCCTATTTGAGTTTTGACCCAGCATGCGCCTCGTCTAGTTTAATTTAACAGTCAGGCAACTAAAATAACATCTCTTCATCGATAAAACTAAGTAACTTTAGCATTAACCAGAGGAATCAATTGTCTAGTTTTAGCTTCCTAACTCGAGCTAGGTGGCTATTGCGATTACCATTTTTTGAGCATGCGGAAACTTGATCAAATGTCGACGTTTTAGATCATGTTAAGCTACTTTTACAAAATAATTTGTTTTTCCATCTGTACGTGCGTACGTACAATTTTCTGAAGTAACGGACTTACGAATTTTGTTTAAATTTTTGGTAATGTGTATTAGGCATACGGAAACGAAAAATGACTCTGTTACGCCCACACTCCCTAAGGGTGTAGCGCATACCAACAAGGGTACCCCATTCCAAGCCAATGCACCCGAACTACCATTAGCAACAGGTACACGCGCTCCTGTATCGCCCTTAACCACTGCCGCCACCAGAGCTAACGAGAAGAAACACTCACACGCAGGACCTCGACGCAACCCAGATTCCTCCCAACGGCAAGAAGAGCAACGAGTTTGCTAGACGGGATCAGTTCTCAACCAATCTTCGGGTCCTCTGCCGTACAAGCTACAAATGTGTTTTCGGGTGCACCTTTAGT